TCAGAATCATGGTCTATCAATGTCAAATAGATCGCAGGGAATAGAGAAGGGTGGCGATTGCTCCACCGACAAGGGCTTAGCTCTTTAAGTGAGAGAGAGATAAAAGAGGTAAAATTAAATAAATATTTAAACACAAAACACATATTTATACAAACCAACAAATATACAATATACATCTACATATATATATATAACATAACTAATTAAGTATATCACATAAAAAAGGAACATTCTTATCATGCCTTAATACGTAACTGACTTAATCAAGATACATAAAATTCTTGAACCATTTTCTTAAAGCTGTTTATCGTTTGCGCTTGCCCGATGTTTATCGGCAATGCATTCCACAAGCGTACAGTTTCAACAGTAAAAGAATGGTCATAAAATTTTGCTGAATGCGGAGGCACCTCCTGCCTCAAATCCTCAGATGACCTCAGTCATTTTTCATTTGTGTCATTTAGGAACTTGAACCGTTCTTTGAGGTAGAAGGGGCTTTAGGATTGAACCAGATGTTATAAAGAAAAGTGAGGATATGAGAATTCCGGCGAGAGCGAATCGGAAGCCACTTGAGCTTTTGACGGAATTCAGAAACGTGATCAGAGATTTTGAAGTCGCTCAAGCTTATCAAGTTTTTTTATGGTAGAGGGGGCAGACGAGCAGACGGGTCACCTGATGGAAAGTGATCATCGCCGCCCATGAACGTCTGCAACTTATTATTCACAAATGCGTTGCCGGCCTTTCAGGAAGGAGTACGCTCTTTTCTTGAAGGTTTAAAGATCGTATCGGTCCGGAAATACCGCTGTCGATAACCCGTTTTACAGATTGGCTGTGCTTTAGTAAGATTCAGATAGCTGACGTCGGCATAGTCGAGAATTGGGAGGAGAAGTGCTTGTGTAAGTGCAGTTGCAGCCTTAGTTGCAGTCGGAAGAAAGTTTTCTTTCATTCCTTCTTGTCTTCGCAGGGACCCGGCAGAAGCAAATAACTTACGACTGACTTCTTGTATATGTGGACCCCAAGATAAAGTATTATCTAAATAGATTCCTAGATTTTTGATACTAGTACTTATTTATTTTAGTAGAATCGGTATTCTACTAACAGTATAAATCTACTACGGTCTACTAACGGTTCCATATCGGTATATATTGACCGATGTTAATAGCATCTCAATAGCTTGTCAATGGAACACAATTCTTTAAAAAAAAAAATACTTAGATGAAGTTGTTAAACAATTAAAACGTACAGAAAAAATACGAAACCTTACGTGTGGCCCCCCACGTGTTTGAGGCTCTTTAAAATATTCTATCTGCATAGTAATTTTTGTTTCTAAGAACAATAAATTTACAGATACTCATTGATCTTTTAGTATGTTTATTTGTTATTCTTGAGAGAAAGAGATAGATAATTTCTTTCTAAAGATCGCAGGCACATTTCTATTACAACTCGCCGCCAGAAACCTCGAGTTATTCCGGTACAATGTTGTTACGCAATGTCCTTTGACAATTTGTTTTGATATATTAGTCCATTTGATGGGCTCACACACTGTCTTTGTTATCAGAATAATTGAATAGTGTTGTATAATACTTAAGTAATGTAATTTTATCACGCGTAATAAACATCATTTCCATTAATTCAATTTATATTAGTTGATCTTTTTTTTACTATATTATAGTAACTTTACAGCATGTTACGAAAAGACATAGGCATATTTTTAAGTCACATAGAAGTTCCAGTAAATATGTGAAATCGCTAACAAACTTAGACAGAACCTTAGGCTATTAATTTTTGATTTTTGAGTCGTCGTCAACGTCACTAGGTACGTTCTGAATATTAACCTAATAATTTTTAACAAAAGTTGTTTGTTTTTTTTTTTAATTTTTTTTTTTGGCTTCAGATTTTTTTAAGGCTGTAAAAAATAATTATTGTTTTCATATATATGACATAAGTATGTGGCCATGCTTAGGTACGATTTGGCCGATGTTCTGTGGTATATAATACGGAAATCTTGAGCCCAAAGTGTTTATTTTTTTAATTGACCGATAAACCTAATAATTGGTGTGAGAGAATCTTTATATGATAAAGGTATTGTGTAACACACCACAAAAATAAACAATATTCAGTTGAATTCAGAACCTTATTCTTTATGTAGTCGTTTAAGAATATAATCTTATTTTGATTAGGTATATCCTATTAGGTGTTGTCCGTGTGGTGACGGATTAAGAATACGGATTTTCACCACCCTATTCATCCCGTGGGTGTCATAAGAGACGACTAAGGGTGCAAACTACGCAGGACAACAGCACTGCAAAGAGAAGGAAAACTTGAAACAAACCCTATACCAACTCGTCTGGCCAGCCTGGAACTGGAACCCTGTCTCGCCAAATACTAGCTTAGATATATAGAAAACTCTTTATTTGTACACCATTTTACAAGAAGTATGGTATAGTCCGTGTGGTGACTAAAAACTTAACACAAACCCTATACAACCCGTCCGGCCAACTTGGTATAGTAGGCCAAAACCTCCTTTTTTAAGGAGATGCCTATGACCAGCAGTGGACTCTTAAAGGCTGTTGACGATGATTATGATGCCTAATCATGTAGTCTAATATATGAAAAAAATAGATATATTTAAAAGGAAATAAATCATTTCTGTGCATTCTTTTACGCGACAGACTCCATAGTTTGTATGTTTACCTAATAATATGGGTGTTTTGTTTTTTTTTTGTATGAATTACAAACGTATATACAAACGTTATTTAAATGTATATTTAATGAAATCTTAAACAAGGCAGAGTTTGAGAACATGGTCAACATTAACATCAAGTCATTAACATTTGAACATGGCGATGGTCACTTTCCATCAAGTGATCCGTGTGCTCATCTGCCCCATCGATCATTAAAAAAAAACAGTACACCGAGACACAGAATGAATGATCATGCTTATCACAGTATATTTGTCCTGGGTGGGAACCGAACCCACGACCTCTGACTTAGCAGTCAGAATCACTAACCACTAGTGCAACAGGCCCGTTGATTAAACATTAACATCTCTTGTTTAAACATTCTTCTTATTACAGTAAGTTGAAACAACCAAAAAACAAAAAAACCATTTTAACATAATATCTTAATCCCTTTTTACAACATCTGTTAAACACGCTGAAATTGTGTAATAAATAACTAACAAATGTTTCGGCTCTCAATCTTGTGAGCTTTATATAGGTGATGACGGATTATATACCCAAGGGAGAAAGGGGTCAATTATGTTAAAGCAGGATTTTTTTATGATTTCGCTCGCCTCTTTCTAGATTTTATCAATCAATAAAATATTCTTTGAGAAGACTACTATTTTACGAGGAAATGTGCGGTTTGCGAAACTTCAGTCCGAACGTCAGACAAAGTACCTACCTACCTACCTATAAGCAAAAGGAGAATGATCCTGTACCCCTAGTAATATATGATGGATGATTATGAAATTTATACCGTTCATAAAGTGGCTCATCCTAACTATTTTCATGTAATTATCATATTTTTATAACTTTGCTGTAAGATAAGTCTTCTCAAAGAATTGTTACAACAGCAATAACTAAACTTTCAAGTGATGTTAACAAAACGCATTCCTACGTTTTATAAACTTGACATGCATAAAATATAAATTACATAAAAAACGATAGGTTAACATAGAGATTAATCAATGAGCTCACTATTGCATTAAGCATGAAATGAAATCATTTCTGCAAATAGATTACAGGAACACTTTTACATGTCAAACTTTTTTGATCAGATGAGTTCGGCCTTCGGTTTAGGATTCCAGAGACCAAAATATCACTTGTCGTAATTTACATTATCTTATATATAAAATTCTCGTGTCACAATGTTCGTTCCCGTACTCCTCCGAAACGGCTTGACCGATTCTCATGAAATTTTGTGTGCACATCGGGTAGGTCTGAGAATTGGCCAACATCTATTTTTCATACCCCTAAATGGTAAGGGTGACCCATCCCTAATTTTTTTGTTTTGCAATACAACGTTTGCCGGGTCAGCTAGTTGTATCTAATATATTTTTTTTTTTTTTGTTCATCTTTAATACAGCAATCTGTCTCTTTATCAGGACATTAAGCGATAGATTGGGCATAAATTGGAAGTCATGTGCAGGGATGCGGCCAATGCCGTACCCTGTTCTAGTTATAATGTGCTCTTATCACAGCACATCCTGGGGGATTCTGAGCTTTAGCCTACGGATTTTCAAACTGTTGTCCATAAGCGGTTGGGCCAATATATTTGGGTGGTTTGATATTCTGTCCCTGTATGCCTTAGTGTGTCTAGTTATTTCCTCCCTGATTGTAGGCATCTTCAGATCGTTGTGCAGTTGTTCGTTAGTCACAAACCATGGGGCACCAGTAACTATGCGCAGCATTTTGTTTTGAAAACGTTGTAAGATCTCTATGTTGGCGTGTGAGGCTGTACCCCATAGTTGTATGCCGTACGTCCACACAGGTTTGAGGATGGCTTTATATACTAGAAGTTTGTTTTCCCTTGATAACTGGGATTTACAACCAATGACCCAGTAAAGTTTTCTCAGCTGTAGACCAAGCTGTTTTCTCTTGGTAAGAATGTGTTTCTTCCAGGTAAGACGTTTATCGAGGTACAGTCCAAGATACCGCACGTGATCTGCCCGAGGGACTTCCACGTCATTCAACGTCACTGGTGGACAGTGCTCTCTTCGCAGGGTGAAAGTAACGTTGACCGACTTGCTTTCATTAGCTTTGATCCGCCACCTTTTTAGCCAGTCGGCTATGTTATTCAAACCTTCTTGTAGTAGTTTAGCTGCGATTTCTGGCTGACTATGGGTGGCCAAAATGGCTGTGTCGTCAGCAAAAGTACCTGTTGTAATTTTTTCACTGGTGGGTAAATCCGAGGTGTAGAGCAGGTAGAAGATCGGACCAATTACACTTCCCTGTGGAACCCCCGCTAGTTGTATCTTATATGAATGTTTTTTCCTACAGGATGATGGAATCATGGAGATCTTAAAAGACACAAGTCTTTCATCCCGTGATGAATGCGCCCGTGCTGCCGCTGTTATTCGCTGGGTGGTCCAACAAGCGTGCGCGTGCGCATGTGGAGGTGCACAACTAACGCGCGATCTGCTAGTGCTCGGCGTCCCTAGAGCTCATGCATCTGCTCTTGCAGATGCAGTGGACAACTATAGGCCAGAGCATGTTGCGCATGTTGAGGCTAATGGTTTCATGAGTAAGTTTTGCAGGTTCTAGAAGAGATTTTGCTGTCAGAGTTAATATAAAAATATTTCATAGGAAAAATAATTCACTTTACACACAGAAAATACTTAATCTAATTCTTTAAATCGAAGTAACGGGACAAATCTCAGCTTATTGACACACGGGAATACCCCTGGAGCTGTAAAATACACAGTCAAGTAATACAAATATTTAGGGTGTGAATCTTGCGCATAGAACTTCAGATTTTGCTGCCTGGAACTCGAACCCTGTGTCGCCAAATACTAGCCTAGATAGATTGAAAACTCTTTATTTCTACATCATTTTACGAGAAGTGTGGTATAGTCATTGTGGTGACGGATTAAGAATACAGAGTGTCACCACTTCTATTCATCCCGTGGGTGACGTAACACTGCAAAGAGAAGGAAAACTTAACATAAACCCTATACAACGCACTTGTGACTCATGAGTTTTAGATTTCCATGGGCGTCTCTTATCATCATATACCATAAAAAAACCCTGTCGTCTCAATTAAAACTTAACTAACGAACGGGTCGCAACTTATCAGCGAAGTTTCTGAGACGAGCAGAAAAATCCGATAAGTCGGTGCTGCCGCCGGTACTGGGTTCAAAGAACTCGCCAGGGAGTGTCGAGTCGCCACATAACTTATCAACCCCTTTAACTAAGACCATAAGTAGGATGCAGACACTTCGGCTTTGTGTCTTGTAATCATACTTACTAAAAATCACATATTTTTTTCTATTCATTGCAGTAAATAAGCTAACCGACGTCTCCGCATCTGCTGATCCAGAAGGCACAGTAGACATGATAACGCTTACGATGCTTAGCGATGATGTCTTCACAGGCGAACAGAAAAAACGTGAACTACTCGTGGAAAAGTCACAAGTCAAGACACTGTTGGAAGAACTCAAGAAGGCTTACAAGAAAATGGAGGAGATTGATGAATAATTTTATTTCAACTTGTTAATTTATACGGAAGTCTTATATGTCGGGTTAAAATGTCTCTTAGTTTATGGCCATTATTCAGTTCTGTACGTTCAGGTTTTGCTCATAAGAACTGATTAATCTTTTAGAATAATATTATGGCCTATTTGTGCCGAGGTATGGACATTTAATATCGATAATAAACACCTGCATTACTTGTAAGAGCGGTTTTGCACCACGTCCGATTCAAATCCGATTCGAACCCGTGAAAATACGGATCTAGAAATCTTCGGCAGAATTCAAATATTGCTTTTCGTACTACCTCCGATTTCTGATCCGTCATTGTGGATTTAAAAGTCTGTCTGACTGACTGAATCGTGTATTGTTTACGTACTATTGCGATCTCTGATTCTAATCCAATTTTATGCGGAGCAACAGCAGAGCGTTGATATCGTTGATCATGAGTCCTTTCGACCGGCGTCAACTTCTCGCAATGTTATTGTACGTACGAACGACACAGAAAAATAAAAAAATCTGGGTGTGTTCATACAAATAATAGTATACCTACTTCGGTCCGCAAATAATCTTCTCCGGAATAGAGATTCAAGGATAACAGAAATAAATCGGATGACGGAACCCGTATCTAGTGCGTAAACTACCATAGAAATAGTTCTATGACTACTTTGGACGGTATTTTCGCGGGTTCGGATCGGATTTTGATCGGACGTAGTGCGAAACCGCTTTAATACTTTATACTATTATTATTTAAGTTGTGTATTCTGTACATTCCTTCTAGAAAACTTTTATCTATATTTTATTTAAAAATGTTTAAAACTAAGGTTTCATTATTTACATTAGAAATTTACCTTTATATTTAATACTACAAAGTATAGAATAAAAGAACATATTATCTTTCTTCTTTTTTTCTTTTTAAAAAGACAACTGCCGTATTAGGAATATATCCTTTATGTAGACTTGTAGACTTTACAAGCATACATGAAACGGACACAAAGAACACCCAGACTCAGAACAACAATTTGTGGATCACACAAAGTGTAGTCCTATGTGGGGTTTGAACCCACAACACTCGGCGTAGGAAGTGGCGTGGCGACCACTTAAACCACTACGCCATCCGTGCAGTCATATTATGTATACCTGCTACATATATAGATACACAGAGCAGTTTTTAATTAGATCCTATAATCCTATACCCGAAGATTCGTATAATTGTATTCTTATAGAGCATATAGAAACTTGAGGACGTACCTGATTTCTATTTTCTATGGTTCTCTAGGGTTCCTTATCAGAAATTCAATATCCTCAATACCCTAAAATAAAACAACGATTTTCAGAATAAAGAAGCGAATATCTCGAATTAAATTATCTTTAAAAAAACAATAAATGTGAAGTGAACTCATACATTTGAGCGGAATCCTGATAAAGCCCCTTAAAAATCAGATGTTCATGGAATAAAACGGAAAAATAAGTTATCCGTCTTGTTTGAACGGACTTGACAATCAGACAACGCGACTGAAAATCGTTTTTTTTTTTTACGTTATAGGCGGCAAAATGACATCCGAGTCACTAAAAAACATCACCGATTTCAGAATTTCTTGATTCTTTAATTTCCCACTAACCACTAGCTCTTGAAGCATCAACGACGAACTGGAAACAATTGGCCATCCGAGGCCATTGGCAACTGCCCGGTATCTATTGAAGTAAGTACGATATAACAATCTATCTCCTAAAATCAAGTTGCGATTTTTTTCGTCCTGTACTCTTTTTAATTACTATGGACTGTGGACGCATGAACTAAATAGCATCTATGTCACAAGGCATCCAGCACTATTTCTTACCACTAAATCGTATTCTCTATTTATTCAAATTTTCGTACATAAATATCGTTCGCTACATAAGTCCAGCACTTCATTTAGTGAACAATAATATCAAAAAGCTCTGTTCAAAAAGTTACGGCAGGTGGTTAATATGCCCAAGAACACAAAACATTCAACGTAAAAAAAATCTGAAGGCAAAAGCTAAACAATACCCACTTATAACTCATCATCTGCCTACCCTTTTCCCAATTTTATTTGGGGTCGGCGCAGTATGTATAATTTTTCCATTCTACTCTGTCATGCGTCATCTCACTGTTTACTCCCTTCCTAGCCATATCCTCCCTGACGCAGTCCATCCACCTCTTCTTCGGTCTGCCTCTTCTCTTGTACCCTTCAACTCTCATACCTAAAACTTTCTTCGCCACATTTTCCTCATCCCTCCGCATGACATGTCCATACCAAGATAACCTATTACTTCTTAACTTTTCATCCAGTGGCGCTACTTTCAGACTCCCTCGTATATACTCATTCCTAACCTTGTCCATCTGAGTCACACCACACATCCATCTCAGCATTCGCATTTCGGCTACATTCAGGCGTCTCTCATCCGTTCTCTTAATGGGCCAACTTTCAGAGCCATACAGGACGGCAGGTCTGATAATAGTTTTATAAATTTGTCCCTTCAGTGTTAAGGGGAAACTGGGGTCACAAGTTGTTCCCGTTACCTGCCGCCACTTCATCCATCCCGTATTGATTCGATGCTGTACAGTTCGATCAATCTCACCATCACATTGTAAGAGGGAGCCGAGGTACTTGAAATTGGAGCAGACTGTTATCGCTATCCCATCCAGCGAAATGGTTTCAGGACTGGAGAGACCGCCGAAATCGCAGAACATGTACTCAGTTTTGGTTCTGCTGATTTTCAAGCCAACATTCTCCAGCCTTTGCTGCCATTTTTCCAGTCTGCTCTGGACCTCAACCCCATCTTCACCGACCAACACAATGTCATCTGCAAATAGCATGCACCAAGGTGCCTCCTCCTGTATGTCCGATGTCAGAGCATCCATTATCAACAGGAAGAGGTATGGGCTCAGAGCTGATCCCTGGTGCAAGCCTACAGAGACACTGAATTGGTCAGTGTTTCCCGTGACCGACCTTACATGAGTGCTAGACTCTCTGTACATAGCACGAATCAATTCTACATACTTTACAGGCACTCTTTCTTCTTTCAAAGCCCACCACAAAACCTCTCGGGGTACCCTATCATATGCCTTTTCGAGATCCACAAACACTATATGCAAGTTTTTGTGCGCACTCCTGTATTTCTCACATAGTTGGCGCATTGCAAATATAGCTTCTGTTGTCCCGCGTCCTGGCATAAACCCAAATTGACTTTGGGTTATCTGACTCTCATCTCTTATTCTTCTCTCAATCACTTTCTCCCAGACTTTCATAGTATGTGACATGAGCTTTATTCCTCGATAGTTGTTGCATTCCTGAACATCTCCTTTATTTTTGAAAATGGGTACGAGTTGAGTTTGACACCATTCCTTTGGGATTACCTCTTCAAGCAACAACATATTGAAGAATAGAGTCAGCCACTCATATCCGTCTTCTTTCAGTAGCTTCCAAACTTCCACTGGTATACCATCGGGGCCAACTGCTTTTCCATTTTTCATACTTCGTACTGCCAATCTAACTTCATCTACACTAATCTCGTTCACCAGTCCGACATTCACATCCACATGCTTTAGCACTCCGCTCCATTTATTCTCTTCATTCATAAGTTTTTCAAAGTAAGTTTTCCATCGCTTTTTTATATTTTCATCTTTAACCAACACTCTCCCCTCTTCATCTTTTATACATCTCACATGCTTTAGGTCTTTTGCTCTTTCTTCCCTGTTCTTTGTAATGCGGTAGAGTTCTTTTTGACCTCTAGGTTCATGTAGGTGTTTAAATATGTTATATTGAGCTTCAGCTCTGGCTACCGCTACCGCTTTTTTTGCCTTTTTCTTCCACTCTTTATATTCATTCATTTTGACTTCCTTCATTCTCTCACAGACCTTTTCATTTTTCCACGCTTTAAAGGCATCCTTCTTTTCTTTTAGAGCTTTCTGTACCTCATCACTCCACCACCATGTATCTCTTTCAATAATGCCTTTTCCTTTTGTTTCCCCAAGTACTTCTCTCGCTATCTGTCGTATATAATTTGCCATTTCACTCCACCATCCATCCACAGACTTATCTAGCCTTGCATTAATTTCAATCATTTTTTCTACCACCTTTACCTTAAAGTTACTTGCATACTCTTCTTTCTCTAACATTCGCCACCTGATTCTTGGAGAAGGTCGGTTCTTCCTACTCTTACTCAAACTCTTCCATTTGACCTCCATTACCAGCAATCTATGTTGCGATACTACGGGTTCCCCGGGCACCACTTTGCAGTCTCGGACACAAACCAACTTACTTCTTTTTATGAGAAAGTAGTCAATCTGTGTCGCGTGGCTACCACTTTTATACGTGATCAGATGTTCGTGACGTTTTTGGAACCATGTGTTAACTATTGCCAGGTCAAACGAAGAGGAAAACTGGAGCAGAGACTCACCATCAATGTTTCTACTTCCGAACCCCCTTCCTCCATGTACTCTTTCATAATCCTCATTCGTTGTTCCCACATGACCATTAAAATCTCCACCTATCAAAAGCTCTTCACTTTCAGGGATACCTATCAAAACCATGTCAAAATCGGCCCAAAATTTATCTTTCACTTCATCCTTGCATCCAGCTTGAGGTGCATACACGCTAACAATATTCATAATTACGCTCTCCCATACTAATTTTAGTACTATTATTCTATCGTTCACTCTCTTTACATCCGTCACACACTCTTTCAGGGCACTATCCAATACTACACCCACTCCATTTCTCTTCCCATCACTTCCGCAGTAATAAAACTTGTACCCCTCTCCTATCTCTCTTGCTTTCGTACCCTTCCATTTTGTTTCTTGCAAGCATGCCACGTTTATTCTTCTTCTTTTCAACACATCTGCTAGCTCTCTCGCTCTTCCAGTCATACTCCCTACATTCCAACTTGCATATCTCAACCTCACCTCTCGGGCTTGCTTCTTACGTTGCACCCGCCTCGGGTGGTGCAACAACCCTTGTCCACTTATTCGCGTAGCCGGGTGCTGCTGCCGCGCGTCGCCTACGGGGTACGCCCTAGCACTGTCGCACTCAATTTCTATCATACTATACTGCATTAAAATGGTTTTGGCTAATTAATTTTATGGCCGGCCGCCTGCCTGTCGCCAACCCTCCTTGGGAATGTAGTCGTTTATACGAAGGGAAAAAGGCAACATCGGGGGTGAGAGAGGAAAATTAGGGTGGGGGAGTACTAGGATGGGAGACAGGACTAAGACTGCGGTATGTACCAATATCCAGCGGATGGGGAGGGCCTGGTGGCCTCTCCAACCGCAAAGACAAGTACCGCACGGACTGTATACATACTGTCTGATGATAAACAGTCCAAAAGATTCCCTCAGTCGCCTTTTACGACACCCACGGGAAGAGATGGGTACCATGGATACCCACTTATAACTATTGCATAATTAAACACAACCGAATTCTAAAAACAAAAAAGTATTATTAGGAGAGAGACAATTGCTAATACCGCGATAAAGGATTAGTAGTTACTCCGTAGTTCGGTGTGTCTTCGATAGATGGCGCTGTAGTATGTTTCTTTGATTCACCGTATGTGGAAGTTAACACATCATGCTACATAATTCCCCTCCAAGACCATGTGTCGATATATGGTGAGTCAGCTGTCTATGCTCGGTTGTGGAGCGTGCCAGTGCCAGTAGTGAGCATTTTCAGTGAATCGGAACTGAGAGCTGCTATTTTCAGTGAGTCGGGGCGGTTTCTGCGTAATAACTGGCTGCTGCGTAGGCGGGAGAAATATATTCTTCTCACGCGGACCGTAGGTGTAGTGCGCTGTGCCTAGACGCTGATGGGGCCGTAGGGGTAACCAGGCTGGAGCGCTCGCTACCTGAGTGTGGTATTCCTGTTGAGGCTGATGATGGCTGGCTGAGACTTGATTACTGCTCATCGCTGTAGGAGTATACACGATGGTGATGCTGATGATCTGCTTCTTTTAAAGGCTGCTGCCAATTACGTCGAGGTCACCACTGTGGAGGAACGGGTGTCATGTCCCTTTAACACTAAAGGAGGATCCTCAGACCAGGCGAGGTCATCATGTGATCAGGCGAGGTGGTCACCACTGTGGAGGAACCGACAGAGGTGGATTTAGTATCAAAAGCGCCAAGCAAGCCTCTTATCGGCACTCGCCCCCCACCCCCCGCGCCTCTCTAGTGCAGCGTTTACACTGTATTATTAATAGCTACTAGTTGACATTACTAAATGTGTGATAGTGATGACTCCAAGTTTAGTTGTTATATCTTTACTAGAACTTTAATTTCTTTATGTGATAGAATCCCTATGGATTGTCGCCCATGTATGGCATCCCACACTCCAAAGAGAATGAACCACACTGGATCATAGACAATTTTAAATGTCAGAAACAATATACATTATAATCTATGGTCAGAAAAATCGTTTCTGTCTCAAGTTGAATCTGTCATGCACAAATGTTTTATCATCTGTAAATAGTAAACACCAGTAAGCCATACTAAAGTTCAAGTAAATAATAATGAAAACAAGATATTATTTACAATAATAAACTATCACTGTTTTTTATATTATTAAGTGGTGTGTGAGCGATCGATGTGTTTGTGTATCTTAGCTTTTTCATTCATTTTATAACCATAAATAAATAAAGTGTTATTATATTAAGTATTAAACAACCATTTTGAGGAATAATCTTTAATGGGCTATTATTTTTGAGATACAAAGGTATTATTTTTGCATTTGTAATATCTATCATTCAAGATACAAAAAATAAACGTGAATTTAAAAATAAAATAATTTGAATTTAAATGTATCCTTTAAGTGTATGCAACCACTTTTTTCTAGATGAACGTCCTGTGCACAATCTGCAGTGATCACGTGAATAAAAACGAGAATATATTTGTGACAAAATGCGGCCACTTATTTCATGACCATTGTCTGGTACAGTGGCTAGAAAGGTATTTACTACAAAATAATCATCAAAAACAATCTATGAGTAAATTTCATGTAGAATATTTAGTTTTCGTTACGGGAATAATTTATTTACATACTTCAGAAATTGTAAATCTGTATATTACATCTACCCACAAGCATACAATATTTATTTATTTAACTTTCGAAAATTCACAGCTACGAAAAACATAATATAAGAAAACATACAAATAAGTAATGAAAAATTCATATTTGTAAACATTACAATAAAATTGAGAAGACAATACTAAAAATAACCTGACACGTCAACCAGGAGTGTGGCATCTCCTGTAATTTAAATAAATATTAAATATTCTTAATTTTTCTGGCCCCTAGCCAAGCTCAGCAAGGCCTACATTATGACAAGGAGCACATTTTTTTTGGTCACTCCACCCTTTTTTTTATCTGTAAATAACAATTTCCAGATCGAAAACCTGTCCACAATGCAGAAACAAAGTAACGGATAAGTGTATGTTCCGGATTTACCCAACGATCTATGATTTAAGTGCTGTAAATGCAGGTTATTTGCAATCAAGACTGGACAATGCAATACTAGAAGTTAAAAAGGAGAGAGAACTAACCAAGGAGAAAGAGAGACAATTAGAAATGGTTAAATATGATTTGAAAAAATATAAGTTAGTAATTGCCTCTTTATTTGTCATTTCCCAATAAAGGGATTAAAATTAAATAAATAGATCTGCACACTAGGGTTAATAACAGTTACAATAATTCAGAACACTGACAAAATGAAGTTTTATTTTTAAATAAGTATTCTAATTTTTACATTAATAAAGATTGAGTTAATAAGAAAAGAAAGAAATAGTAAAAAGCTAGATTTTATTTTTAAAAGATATGTTAAAACTAGAAGTGTGTAATCAGATAATTATTTTTTCATCAACAGCCTTTCATAGTCCACTACTGGACTTAGGCCTTTCCGTAGAAAGGAGATTTACTATACCGTGGTACTGGCCAGAGGGGTTGTTTAGAATGTTGTTAGAGAATGTACCCGAAAGTGGTGCCCGCGCCGTTGCGGGCAGGCGCTAGGAGGAGTCCGGATGTCTTAATAACAGCAGTTCCCGGATCTCTACTATGACAAGCGCAGAGAGTGGCACACCGTGTAAAACCACACGTCGGTGTCGGTCCGATTCCGACACAACACCCCGCCGCAAACCCCGTTGGGGTGACGGCCCGAGGGGGTTTCCACACGTAAAAAAAAAGGGTTTGTTTCTGTTGCCCCTAAACCATAAATAAAAAGGAATTGATAATAATAATAACCTCACATATCTCACACAGCCATCTGAACCCAAACTAGGCAGAGCCTGCCAACTAGACTGCTGATAAACATGCTTATATATTTCTAAATACATACATGTTATTAATAAATTACACCCAGACAGAACAAATGCTCTTGCTAGTCACACAAATATTTGTCCTGGATGGGAATCAAACCCACAACCTCTGGCTTAGCAGTCAGGGTCACTAACCACTAGACCAACAGGCCCGTCATTACAATAATTGATATTTTTAAATTTCAGGGGTCTTGTAAAGACATATGAGATGCAAATAGTCAGCATTGAATCTAGGTTGCAGAGTGCAAAAGGGGAATTGCTCTTTGCACAAATAGAAGCCAAAGAGGCGCAGAAATACAAAGAGGAAAACGAAGAATTGAAGAAACATATGCAGACACTGAATGGGTAACTGTTTTATAATGAAAGAAATTACTAAATCTAGAGATAATAGTGTTCGGTAACGATCCAATTATATAAATATGTGTTTACCAAGGTGTTTTGTTGCGGGTCATTTATTTATTAATTAACTTCAAACAAAAAAAGACATTTCCTGTTTTTTGTTTGTAACCCGAGAACTCTTTCAGTAATGAGCCGATTTGTGACTTATACCTGATTTGTATCTACCCTTTAATGGAAAGATCATAAGGTAAGTATGCCCTTTCCATTAAAGGGTAGAAATTAAGGTATGAAGAGAAAGGTTTATTTCAATTCATCACTGGTTTAGGTGAATTGAATTGAAATTATACAAAATCGCTCCTAGAAGCCCGTGAACGCCCCAAGGGGCTTCTGCGCTTCTGGAAGAAGCTTGCTTGGCTCACTATTGATCATTCTCGAGTCTAAATACAGAAATCAGAGACCACGACCAATACCAATTGAATTGAAATTAACTGACTGCACAGATGGCGTAGTGGTTTAAGCGGTCACCTCGCCGCTTCCTACTGCGCTGACTCCTATGGGTTCGATGCCCACATGGGAAAACACTTTGTGTGATCCACAAATCGTTATTCTGAGTCTGGGTGTTCTTTGTGTCCGTCTCATCTATGTTTCTAAAGTTCCCCTCAACACATAATATATTTCGTGTAAAAATTCTTGAAATTAAATTATTATTTTAGCATGTATGTCTAAGCTTCAATGCTAATAAATGTCATTTTTACAGGTTACAGACAATATTGAACGCAACCAGTCGTGAAGTGGAGCAGATGCTAGAGGGTTATTCAGATATGCGAACAATTGCTACATTTGCATCTGCACTTAAAAGGTTGTTTAAAACCATATACCTTTCTATGGAAGCCATCTGTGGCTATGGCAGCTTAAGGCCAAAACCTTCTCTGTAAGGAAATGATATGATGATGATAGCATTAGCTGTTGAGCAGTAGAGAGTTATTTGAAAAGATTTCTTTTTTCATGGTAGTCACAAACAAGCAAACAGTTCACTTGATGATACCTATTGCCTACCGCTTGCCTTGCTTGAGAATGGGTTTATATGAAGCCGTGGTATCACTTCTGCCCAGGCGTATCTGCTGAAATGTCTATGAACAACATAATATTTTCACACATCTCAAACAGCATAATATTTTCACAGATCCCAAACGAGCTGCTGATAAACATGCTTTTATATATTAATAAATAGATACATATTAGGAATAAAGTACACCTAGACAGAAGAAATGACCGTGCTCATTACACAATTATTTGTCCTGGGTAGGTCCGAACCCACAATCTCTGGTCTAGCAGTCAGGATCATTAACCATCAGACCAACAGGCCAGTTGGCTATATATCCCTACAACAGCGTAAGGGCAGTGATTGTGGGGTAAATTGTAAAAAATCACATAATCATTAAGATTCAGAGCAGTAATAGGGTCAACCACTTTTATAATGTTTACTGAACTATATTACAATACTAATAAGCAATTTTTAACTATATTTTAATGAGGCAAGGCTTCATATTTTAAAACTGCTCTATTTTCAGTGTACAGCAAACTGAGAAAATTTGAACTTTAAAAAACATGGCTTGAATAACCATGCCCATTTATTTCAATTTTCTTTTGTAATAACCGTTATAAAAAAAACTGGTTTCATATTTGTTATACAGAGCGCTTTGTGAATCAGAGGCAAAAAAGAATGAATTTCGAGACAAATTATTTGTGGCAAATAAAGAGCTGTCATTGGAAAGGAAGACAGAAGCTGAGCTTCAGAACAAAATTAAGTAAGTACTTGATAAGTAAGAAGTAGTACAACCTGTTTACCTCTAACCTAAATAAACTCAATAAAAGCTCAAAAAAAATCCATCAATTTCAAAGATTTCCGTACGAAGCCGGGGCGGTTCGCTAGTATTTAATAATAAAAATAACATTATTAAAGTAAACTCTGTTATTCGTATTATTTTAATAATAATTCTCCTATGTGTAATACCCAAATAAAAAGTAAAATATATTAATTCATACTTTTCTTGCAGACTATTGGAAGCTGACCTAAAGGATAGTGCATCGACAATCGAGTCGTTACAAGCGCAACTCAAAACGGCATCGCTCAACAAGAATAATTACAAATCTCCCACAAAACCCTCAACACAAAATCAGACTCCACGAATAATGGAAGAAAGTGTTTTACTTGAGAGATCACCGGGACTAAATGACGCCATACTAGAATGTCCCAGTAATAATAGCAGCTTCGTAAGTATCCTAAATTAATATTGTATGTTTGTTAGTATGTTTTCATATATATATATATTATACTATTATATTATTGTGGAGAAACGGGTGTCCTTCCAACATAAAGGGAAGATCCTCCGACCAGTTGAGGTGCCTGGCGGACCGCAGCTCAACGGAGAACTTTCGTTGCGTGATATAGGATTAGTAGTAACTGAGTAGTTCGTTGTGTCATCGATAGATGGCACTGTAGCATGTTTTTCTTTTATTGTATGCGGAATTCGCCACGATAATTCAAATTATCTATAAGCAGTGCATAATTGGCTTATAAAAAAAGTGACCAAAAACATCATTAAAAATATTTGCAAGTATTTCAAAAGTAAAATAGCTGTGTTTTTAAACTTTAGAAAGTTCCACCTGCCAGTAATGATTACCACAGATGTTCATATGGCATCACATGCCTACATCACACACAGTCTACTCTGTTACAATTGTACCTTTTAACATTCCCAGATCCAGATTATTATATGTTTTTTTTTTATTTTATTTACAGAATACAATGGTAAATAAAATTGAGAATTCTGATTCACCATATCTAAACTTGAAGCAAGGAGGAGGCCTCCTATGTTTAACGGCGCTTCAACGTGGTGCGGTCAAAATATCCGGAGGAACAAAGGTAAAATATTCATGCCATGTGTTAGCCCATCATGTCGTTTTTTCAAATAAAAAAAGAAACAAATAAAAATCCGGTTAGAATAAAAAAAAGTGAAATTCAATTTTCACTTCTGTCGCCACTGTTTTTTTTTTCAATATAATAATAAAGCCTTGATTTCCCGAAATATTTACATATGATAATATTATGTCTTAGTACAATTTTTAGAAAAAAAAATACATAAAAGAGAAAGTAAAACATTATTTAAACTAAAACTACATTTATATTGCCAAATATATCTGAATTGGGTTTGCCTTACGGCAAAGGCCTCCTCCAGCTTACTTCATTGTTTCCTGTCTGCCGCTACTCTCATCCAAAGTGGTCCTAAGGTCATATTTCAATATACATCTTGACTAATATATAGTGGCACATTATACATTGAACCATTCACACACCATTTATACTGAAAAATCTCACCAGATTTGTTAAAAAAATAGTGACCCATCTATCAAGGGCTACACCCAGACCCTGACCAATTAGGAAATTAGGAAAAGATAATTTCTGGGAACCTGATTGGTCAGAGGGTGGCGCTTGATCATTACGTCACTATATTCTTACGAGAATGCACTCTACCTACACAGATATTCATTTTGAGGACTTTTCCATACCAATACAAATTTACTTGACCAAATAAACTTTTATTTTAAATTATGTCTGAATAATTTAGACGTGTATTTTTAGTTATGTACTAACCTTCAGATGACTAATTTTGTTTTGCTGACAGATGGCTAATTTTTTTTCAAGTTGATTGAAGAATTTTTTTGAAACTATTAATCTGGAAGTAACAATTTTTTTTTTCATCGTTTCTTAATTTAATCGTAAACTTTTCAAAGGTCTTTTAAAGTGTTAATACTTGCATCTTACTGAACGCAATTCTTGATGTATAAGATGAACCCAAAACCTTCTCCTTTGTCGGCGGCGAAACTGTTTGGTACCAAGTACAACCAAGTGGGGACGTATCACTGATGTCCACTCACAGTGACACCCGGCTTATTGTACGTTTAAAACGCAAAAAAAAGTGCAGGACAATGTGCTGTGAACCCAGCCTTATACTGTAAAATAACGTTTATTAATTTATTGGTTTACTCATTTACTGCACCAGTAATCTAATACCTTTAAACGAGCAATTCTTACATACGTGTATATATATAATCTGAATCTCGGCAACGGCTCCAACGATTTTCATGAAATTTAGTATACAGGGGGGTACTTCTTTTATTTACAGCCTTCACAACAATCCTACCAGGATTTAATAAAGAACGCCAACAAAAAACGAGTGGAATCCCAAATGACTACCAGCATATTTCACCGAAAGGAGCCGATGAAGATTCAACCGTCTGACGCCAATTCTAATTTGGACATCTCTTATGACGGCATGGGAGGCCACTCCAAACCAGACACTTTTCCAACTCCGAGGAGATCTCCCAAGAATTCGCCGAAGAAAGCTGGTATACCGCGGTTGACTGCTAAACATAAGCTGAAACGGCCTAACATAACTGGTAACCAAGATATTCAGGCAATGTTTAAAAAGCGCAAAGATCAGTAAATCAATCAATGTAAGATTTTTTTTAATCTCTCCTAGTACTTACTTGCAGGCGTCTCTGATATTGTATTCTTCAGTATTAAAGGTGCATCTGTTTAAGCCGCACTGATGGCGTAGTGGTTTAAGAGGTCACCTCACCGCCTCCTACTGCGCATAGAGGTGTAGGTTCGATCCCCACATGGGATAGCGCTTTGTGTGATCCCCCAAATTATTGATCGGAGTATGGGTGTTCTTTCTGTCCGTTTCCTGTATGTGTGTAAAGTCCCCTACGACACTAAATATATTCCTAGTGTGTAAGTTGATTTTTGTTTTTTTTTTTATCTGTAACAGTAAATCCCACCTTCCTTTACCTTTTACTATTAGTTTTGTTTATTTTTAGGGTTCCGTACCTCAAAAGGTAAAAAAGGAACCCTTATAAGATCACTTTCTTGTCCGTCTGCCCGTGTGTCACCACCGATTTTCTCAGGAACGGGTAGACCTAGCAAGTTGAAATTTATACCAGATACTGAGGTCTATGGTCCCTATTAAGTGTATAAAAATCAAGGTCCTGAGTCACACGATAAAAAGATATGGGCAAATTGCAAATTTCGATTTTCGCGAAAACTTGTAAGTACCAAAATTTACCTTAATTTTCAACTTTGCCTATTTTTCAGAATTTTCTCTTTACTTGTGCTGTAAGACCTTGCTTTTAACCAAAATTGACAATCCTAGGTCAACTGGAAGTACCCTATAGGTTTTGATTCGAAAACCTATATGGTAGTTCCCGTTAACCTAGAATCACGAAATTTGGCAAAAAGAAACGTCTTACAGCACAAATAAAGGAATAATTCCAGAAAATAAAAAAGTTGGAAATTAAGATAAATTTTGGTTCTTTCAAATTTCGCACCTGACTGGTTTTTAAGCTAATCAATGTCTGTTTAGAGTAAGAAAATCACAATACATTCACAAAAATACATATAACCGAAGCGTAACAAACACAGTAAAGTAAACTAGGACATACTGACTTTGGAGTTAGTATTCTGTTGTAACTTACAGACGTTGTGTTCTTCCACACCAACCTACTCATTTTATTTGGAGTCGGCGCAATGTCGAATATCAATCATCATCATCAACAGCCTTTAATAGTCTACTGCTGGACATAAGCCTCTCCTTAGAAAGGAGGTAAATAATAATATAATAAATAATGTCTAATATAACTTATTATAATTATATACTACTATACTGTTTTTACTTTTTTTAGTGAGATAAGCTTTCAGTGAGTTTCTGTGTCTTAATTTGTGAATATACAAATAAATGTATTTTTATAAATCTACTAGTACGTAAAAACATCATTTGTAGATATAAAATATAAAGTTATTTTAATTATTATGTATTTATTTAAAACTTAATGCACGTGTTGTGCAAAGACGGACTTAATGTTATCAGGCATTCTCTCCCAGTGAACTTTCAGGTGTTAATTAATTATATTTAATATTTATAAATATGAGATTACATAATTATTATATTTAACTGACTGCAGATGCTCAGCAACTTAATGTGTGTGTGTGTGTGTGTGTGCACGTTTACTTGTACGTGTGCGTGTGTATACGTGTGCGTATCTATAAATTGCTTAAGAATTGATGATTTTTATGTATATAAAGTCTTAAAGAACGATAAATTGCTATCATCTTCCTGCTCTGTTACCATTTTTTTTTTTGATTTGGCGCAATGTATAAAATTGCAAAAGGGATTTGGCTTTTTATGGATACGTGAAAGAGATAAGCATAGGGCAAGGGGGTTAAGGTTAGCTCAAATCTCAAATAAGGAACGGAGCTGATGCTGTAGTAGCTTGGAGTGGTTGGGATCATGTACCTGTTTGGCCGTCCTGTAAGACAGTACTAGGTCAGGACATCAACTGGCTATACGATACGAATGATAAACTGTCTCAGATAAAAAAATATCTAATCTTTAACTATATTTTGCCCGCATAAAAGCTAAATTATCAGCGAGTAAAATAGCCTATGTTACTCGCTGATAATGTAGCTTTCGATTGGTGAAAGAACTTTTAAAATTGGTTTAGTGGTTTAGGCGTGAAAGCGTAACAAACAAACTCACTTAAACATTTATAAGTATGGATATGCGATTTACTAAATAGAAACGCCCATGTTTAGCCACTTAGCACCGGTACGGTGCTAATTTAACTCTTATGTTGTTGTTTAATTCTTATTTTGTTATGGACGTTGTTGATGCGGGCGTATTCTAACGTTGCGGTTGCGGGTTCTAACCCCATCTAGTGTATGAACGACGTGACTCCACTCCTGCCGCATTTATCTCAGCTGGAACGTGGAAAACCAATAATGTTTAACATGTAATGGACATTCCGCAAAAAACATGTCAATCTGTAACTTTGCGAATTTATTTTTGTGATGATCAGAGCTATGTAGGTAAATAAATAAAATAATAATGCACGAGAAAAGTGGAAATCCTTTCCAAATCTGTGATAGATTACGAGTACATCGTTAGACTAAGGATCTCTATTGATAATCAAATATAGGTACAACATCATCACCAGACTTTTGTAGTCCACTGCTGGACATAGCCCTCTCCTTAGAAAGGAGGTTTTCGCTTAAGGTTAAGGTTACATATAGGTTAAGTTTTCACCAATATTTAATACTAGCTGACCCGCGCAACTTCATCTGCGTCTCTCAATAGTAATAAATTTTCTCCGTTTTTGAAACATTCTTCATTGGTGCTCCGCTCCTATTGGTCTTAGCGTGATGATATATAGCCTATAGCCTTTCTCGATAAATGGGCTATCTAGCACTGAAAGAATTTTTCAAATCGGGCCAGTAGTTCCTGAGATTAGCGCGTTCAAACAAACAAACTCTTCAGCTTTATAATATTAGTATAGATATACAGGCCCTGTCACACAGTGTTTAACAGATAGGTTTAAGTGTGATCTAATTCTACTTAAGGGTGGCCAGAAAATAGATTTCAAGCTCTGTTAAAAATAAAGTGATTTTCCAGGGTATCTGTACATTTTTAAAAGCATATTATAAACTTATTTCTGTAATTCTTAGAGAGATGTTTAACATTCCATTAACTTGTATGTACCATGATTCGTTAAGTTTTGATTGTTTTCGTTTATCATGTCGACCAGCATAAATTGAGCTGTCATTGTCATAGTATAGCTGTCATTTAACTTTTTAGTCATTTGTAAGTTATTACAAATGACAAAAACAACGAAATTATGTTTATTATATTTACAGTAGTGATACTGTAAATATAATAAACATAATTTCGTTGTTTTCTGTTCACTCCATGAGTATTAAACATAACTAGAGGCATGGAAAAAGATTTCATAGTTTCCATGTGTTTTTGGGATGCCTTTTATTGCTATAAATGTATTTTACAAATAAGACTTAAGGGCGGAACAACCGTTATGTTCTATATCTCCGCTAGGACTGACAACTGTTTGCTAGTCAAGTAGTCAAAACTATCTAACCTTGATATACACACCTACTTCAAAAAATCAAAATGAAAGACTGAAATAATATAAATCTGCCTCAATAACTAAGTCTTAAAAATATATTTCGTAACCTAGGATTTAGAAACCTATTTATAAAATACGTAATAGTACATTGGGTTTGGTGGTACATATTACGCAAAAATAAATTTAAATTATAGTTGTTGATACAAATTGTTTTTTAATACAATAAATTATGTGTGCAATAAATGTAGTTTTATTTATGTAAAATGAATCGTTCCTAAGGTTAATACGCTTTAATCCTAAGCTGTAAGCTAAGCTGAAGCTGTTAAAGTTTTAGGCTTGAATGACCATTTTAGATTATTATTTTTATGGAAGACGACGGGTCACCTGATCTGGAATAACTATCGCCGCTTATGAACGCCTGCAACTCAGGAGCCACAATTGCCTTACCGGCCTTTGAGCAAGAAGTGCCCTCTTTTTGAAGATTTGAAGAGTGCATCCATCGCTCCTCTTCCCCCCTTTTGGGGGGAAAGTATTCAAACGCGGAAACGTATTTGTGACTAGAGTTGTATATTTCAAATACGAAAAGGAAATAACAGCCATGAAAAGGAGTAATTTAAATACACATGCCTACATTTAGATACAGTTTTTTTCTCAATATTTAGGTTCACCTTAAAATATAGGCAGTAAACTAGTTTTTGGTTCAAATGGGTACAAGCATCTCATTCTATATCATTCACCTACTGGTAGCTGATTCTCTGTGCTAGACAAAAGCCGGCCTTCTGATCACGAGAAACATTGATCAGTAAGATAGTAAGATCAGTTGCTTAGCTATATAGTTTATACTAGCTGGTACCCGGGACTTCTAGCGCGTGGAGTTTGAAAAGCGCTGCCTTAGGGCCACCGGGTACGGGTGTGCAGAGGACGGAACCGGGCGGAATTTTCAAGGGGCGGCAAAACCAAAAATTAAAACGATAACGAAACTTTTTTATAATTTGCATGTCTAATGTATTTTTATCTCATCATAGTAACATCTATTGATCTTCTTCTTAACTCCGAGGGAAAGGACCTATACTCCTGCGACCTATGTAACTCGCGACATATGGTGGCATGATAATCTGTACAATGAAACCGCATGACACGACAAGCTGCGGCGTCCCGCGACATTCTACAACATGCCGTGGTATAATTGTATCGATATTACGTAATTTGATTTCTAAACTCATTGAAATAAGAATTTAAAAAAACTTGATCGGAAATGAAATTCATAACCACCCCACCGGCTGTTCGGTGGCGGATATCCGAAGGGCGATTTCCACATGGAAAAAAGGGTGGCTTTATCAGTAGGTATTGCACGTGAGCGCTCGAACGGCGAACGGCCCTGCGCTGCCCAAGTGGTGTAGTACGATACGTGAGGCCTCGGGGTTGATTCTCGGATCGGCCAAAATTGTACAGGGTTTTCTGAGAGGATAAATCCTTTTTTTTAAAGTTGAACCGACTTCTAACAATACTAACAAAGAACACTAAAAACCTAGCAGAAATCGCGGTTGATTTGCTGTCATTTTTTGAAGAGTTCCGTTGTCTGTCTCCAAAGTCATCATCAGATCTATATTAAATTTAAATGGGACTATTCCGGAATAAAACCCTTTCGAACAAAAAAGATTTTTGAAAATCCGTCCATATGTGACGGAGTTATGCCTGTTACGCATTAAAAAAAAACATCCGAATTGGCAACCTCCTCCTTATTAAGGTCGGTTAATAAATAGCTTAAGTTACTTCTTATATAGACGCTACCTGGTAGTAAAATATTATCAAAATCGGTCCAACCGTTTAGAAGGAACAGACAGACAAAAAAAAACTGGTTTTTAGACACAGGCATCGTGCAAATAACCGTGTGAGCATGAATAAAAGTAATTATTTTGATATTACAAACAGATACTTCAATTTATTTATTTGTATAGATAGCACGAGCACTTGGACGGGATAACGTCTCGACCCCAAACGGTTTAAAAATGTAGTTCCCTACTGTAAATATTTTAATAATATTTTTTATTTTAGTTAATTTAGAACTCTGTTAATAATTATGTAACATTATTTAAAGAAATAAATACATTCAAATGTGTTAAAACAAAGTGAATAAAGAATAAGTGAAATTGTAGCTACTGAAAACCTACCTACCCAACGAACTAAGATGTTTTATATTAACAGCGACTTTAAAATAGTCAGATGCCTTACTTGATGTATAAGAATTACTTATTAAGGTATTTTAGATTATTGAATATTTCCTAAAATTGCACTTTTTCAATGAAGTCTGTAGGCAGGCCATGAACAATGTAATATGAAAAACGTTATGGATGTAAAAATTGAAACGAACGCATTTATTGTTGACATTTGGTTTGACAGTTTGTGATCGAGCGTGTCGCTCTTCTTGCCGATTTTATTTATAAAATATCACATTTTGTCTATTAATATACCGACAGTTACCTTTAGAACAACATTTAGATACAGCTGGGGCGCTCCAAGGTGCAGTGTTTATAACACAAGCGCGTAATTTTATGTTATACCTACCGCGAAATATGTGCGCCGAAAATGTTTTAATTTTAAAATAATAACATTACAACAAAAAATGTTGTTTAAAATAAGTTTGGCAAATATTTGTGTGCTTCCTGTAACCGTGTCATATAACAGTGCTCTATATAAATCAGTGTATTGATAAGAATTTGTGTTTCTATTTCTCTTTAGATTAGAAGTTCGAAGCTGATAATATTTTGTGAAAAGAGGTGATAATATTATTTCACAATGTTGTTTGAGTAGTCCTCAACAACTATTTACTTAAGAGTTTGCAGTTTTAAGTGTTAAGTGTGTTAAGTAAGTTCAAAATGCCTGGTAAAATAAAGGTGAAAGTGCTGGCGGGTCGGAACCTGCCTGTGATGGACAGGGCTAGTGATACTACGGACGCTTTCGTGGAGATAAAATTTGGTGGTGTTACCCACAAGACTGATGTGTGCCGGAAGTCTCTAAATCCACACTGGAACAGCACAGAATGGTATAGGTTTGAGGTAAGTTTAGTGGGTCTTTATGGTATCTCCTTTTAATTTCTGTATATCTATTAAGAATGTTTCGGTAGTAATACATTACCATTAGATTGCAGTTTTAGAATTTTCTTAAAATAAATCATGTTTGAAAAAATCTAAACAATTGCTGCTGTAAATGAGTTTCCTACTGTACTTAAAGAATAGCAAGAATAAAAATAATGGCCAGTTTAAATTGACACCTTGTCAATTTCAATTGGTCCATAATACAGATGGATTACTAAAAAACTTCATCCAAAATAACATTGTCAAATTCCTAAAATAGTTTTCAGAAAATGTAGCAAGAGTAAAAATTATTGTTTGAATGTTATGTGTATATTGAATTAAATAAACTAATGTAACCCTTAACTCACCAACATTTGAATTTCTTTACAAAAAATAATAAAAATAACTACTGAACGGCAATGTCACAGCCATATTACTATGTAAAATAATATCCGTGGGTCTTAGGTCCTGGTATATAAAGAAACTGCAGTAAGTTATTTGTCATATATCACACAACAACAACCTTTAATAGTCTAGTGCTGGGCATAGGCCTCTTCTTAGAAAGGAGGTTAGGTGTCATATATATATTAAATACTATTATAAATAATTAATATAAAGTTATCTGCCCATAAGTACTTAACAATCGACCTGGCACACATCAGTGTCTTTAAAATTGTTACACTAAGCATTTATCTTGATAATAATAACAGACAAATATTTTACAAGCAAGTTCAAAGTGTAGTCAATTGAAGTAACCAGATATTCAGTTATACATAGGTAATAAAACATTAACACTTAATTTTAACTTTAAAAAATGTTTGAATTGATGTCCTCTTTGTCAGTTTGTAAGTATTTTCCTATGATACTGAATATTACAAAAATGATATTATTCCTTAAACTGGAATTACCAATTGAAATGGAGTGAGTGTCAAAAAATCAAACGCAGAACTTAACCTGATATACCTACTTTTGTCATGTTAATAAAAGAAAGTACAAGATACAAGATATTTTATTTGCATAAACATGTGTACATTAAAGATGTTAAGTAATATTGCCTGATCGACATGTTTGACCGTTACCGGTGTACAAATATAAAATTAATTTAACAATAGCATTTTTCTACATGTAACATAAAATCGTTTAAAAACATTTTAAAAAATCAAAAAAAGAAGAAAAAACATTTACAATGAAAGGACTCGAATATCATGGTTATAGGTATACATTATCAACTATTAACCGTCTACATTAATTTATTTAATCTAAAACATTCAATATTCAACATAAATATATTTACTGCAATCAATAATCCATCAATCATACAAAAAATCATCAATGATACATTATATCATTATGGTTATAAAGTGTTGTCATTCAAGAAATCCTCTAGTCTATAATAACAATTTTCAGCTAATAATGTTTTAAATTTCGTCTTAAATTCATTCATGTCCAAGATCTTAATATATTTGGGAATTTTGTTAAATATCAACGGCGCCTTACATACGACACTTTTATGCATCAGGGCTGTTTTTGCTGGATGGACACAAAGTCTATCATTGTCGCGGCGATTACGGCTTACATGGTCCGATAGCTTAGGAAATAAGTGAGGATTTTTTTTTACAAAGGTAGCCACCTCCAATATATATAGGGACGGTAGTGTGAGAATTTTGTATTTTTTAAAAAGCGGATTACAACTTTCACTACTTTGGATTCCGAACATGGCTCTAATGCATCGCTTTTGCATTTTAAAGATTACATCTTTAGAAGTCGAATTTGCCCAGAAAATAATGCCATATCTCAGAACCGACTCAACAAGGCCATAATATGCTGAGAGAAGTGCATCAGTAGTAACTATTGGAGCAAGTTTAAATAAGGCATATGATAGACTGCTGATTCTTTTACTTAATGTTTCAATGTGATCCTTCCAAGCTAATTTACTATCTATAATGAGGCCAAGAAATCGAGCGTTGGTTACTTCTTTTACTGTATAATTGTCATAAACTAATTTTACTTGCAACGGATTTTGTATTCTCTGATTAAAATGCATTATACTTGTTTTATTCAAATTAATTTTTAAATTATTATTAGTGAGCCATGAAATAATAGATGTCAATGAGTTATTAATGTCAAGTTCATAATTGTTGATATCCTTGCATGAAATAGTAACCGTACTGTCATCAGCGAATAGGGTCATCGGTTGAATCGTTGCATTTGGTAAGTCATTGATATATATAATAAATAAAAGTGGCCCAAGGACACTGCCCTGCGGAACACCATATGAAACATAACGCTTCATGGAGGTGTATGTTTCTTCATTTTTAGTTTTAGGGTTTACTCTAGTTATTTGAGTTATCTGTTGCCTATTTGTCAAGTAGGATTTGATCAAATCAAAAATATTGCCTCTTATTCCGTAAGCTTTGAGTTTACTGAATAGTATACCATGATCAACGTAGTCAAACGCTTGTGACATATCACAGTAAATTGCACAAGTAGGTGTTTTCCTATCAATTTGTGTTATGATATTCTCAATAAATTCATAGACAGCCATATCTATAGATTTATTTTGTCGGAAGCCTTTTTGTTCATTGCACAGAATATCATACTTTTCGAGGTACGCATTAATTTTGTAATAAAGATATTTTTCAATTATCTTTGAGAATATAGATATTAATGCTATAGGCCTATAGTTTTCCATTAATTGTTTATTTTCTTTCTTGAATAGAGGCTTAATTATTGTCAGTTTAAGGTCTGCTGGAAATGTACCAGTTGAAATACACAAATTTACAATATAACTTAAGTAAAATTGACAATTTTACTTGTCCAGGTGGTACATCATCTAATACTCTATTGTCAGATTCCTGTAGTTTAAAAAAATGTGAACAGTTTGATTTAGTTTGATATGATATATTAAACTAAATCAAACTGCATCACAGTTTTTTCAAATACAGGAACTCTACCCTCTCAAATTCGGCTCTGAATAAGTCAAGAATCCAAAGCTTGTGGATCCGTTTCACCAACTTCAGATCTGTTTTAGTGGCGATGGGCCTGTTGGTCTAGTGGTTAGTGACCCTGAATGCTAAGCTGGAGGTGGTGGTGGCTTCGATTCTCACCCAGGACAAATATTGTGTGATGAGCATGGTCATGTGTTCTGTGTCTGGGTGTAATTTATCTATAATATGTATGTATGTATTAAAAAATATAAACCTGCTGTGATGGGAAAATAAGAAGCTCAGAAGATCACATGGCATACCCTTCAGACATAGACTTCTACAAGCTCTTACGTAGAGGCTACAACGATAGGCGCATCAACTTACTAATACCTATGGCAGACCAACAATATAACAACTGCTATCTCTTGTATGCCACAACAGAGATAAAGAGTTTCCTAGTAGTATAGGCTTTTTAAAAATCAATTAAGCATTTGTTTCTAGTCTTAATTTTTCTATTTGCTGATTATCGAATGTGTTTAAGTTACTAAGAGCTTTGTTAAAAGATTCCTTCACATTATAACGTAGTTGTACACAAATATATACAGGTTCAAGTCAATCTAATATCAAGAATATCAATAAGACACCAGCCGTAAATCCCGCGCCTTTGTTGGCTTTTGGTAGCAAAGCGAGCAGGTAGCATAAACAAATAAAAACTAAAAGGGGATAGCACCTGGTTCCAAAACATTATGAGATTAAAATTACGTATGACGATGTATTGGCCCTCGACCAAAAATTACACGAATAATATAGCAGTGATATTTGGTTATTTTTCTGTGTGAGGGTACTCTCTAAAACAACATTCATCCGAAGGTACTTTACTAATTTAAGTTTTAAGAAGTATCGCTCACTACGATGCGCCTAGATCTCGACAAATTGTAATAAGGTGTAATTGTTATTATTGTCACGTAATTCAGTTATTAATAAAGTCTCTTTAATCGTCAGAAGGTATGTTATTCCAAATCAACAAACTCTTAATACGTTACATTATTACAAGACAGTTCCCGCATTAGGAATATATCCTGTGTCACGGGACAAACATACATGAAACGGACACAAGGAATACCACACACCCAGACTCAGAACAACAATTTGAATCACACAAAGTATTGTTCCATGACGACCGGATGGCGTAGTGGTTTGTGTAACGGACTGCTATTCCAAAGGTCGCGGGTTCGATTCCCGCTCAAGTCAAACATTTGTGTTCATGAACATATGTATGTATATATGTATGTATTTACAAAAAATAAGTACCTATATATGTATTTATATCAGTTGTCTATTACCCATAGTACAAGCTCTGCTTAGTTTGGGACTAGATGGCATTGTGTGAATGTGGTACAATATTATTATTATTATGTGGGGATCGAACCCACAGGACTCATCGCAGTAGGAAGCGACCGCTCAAACCACTACGCCATCCATGCAGTCTATCGGTATTCTGCAGTTCTGAGTTTTCGGTGGCATTTTTTTTCAAGTTAAAATCGTATCAACGTACAAATGAAATCGTATAAATGACGGAGATCTAAGGGAAAAATTCACAATCGAATTGAGTCTCTGCCTATTTTTTTTAATTCTGTTACAAAGAGATCGGAAATATGACGGTATATAATTGGCAAGTTGCCTGAGTCGAGAGTGGCGGCAGAATGCAATTGCGCTTCTCGGTCTCTCGACTATTGGCAAGAAGAGGACACTGGGGTGGTCGGTAAGAGCTCGACAGACCCTTGGCCAATTTTGGGGCATGGGTGAATCACATCCATGAGGATCTTCATTTCCGTTAACAAAAAAAAAGGGTAGTAAATTGACGTATGATATGTTTATTCTTGGTTAAAAAGTAGCTAAAGCCAACTATACAAACTAACTCGTTGATATAACCGCCGCCATGGTGTGTTTTATATTATATACCTCGTATATATATATCGTAACTCATATTACTATATAATATTAATTTTACACATTTCACACATGGCAGTCTCATCCTAAAATAGGCAGAGCTGT